CAACTGATGAAGTTTCACTACGTCATCAATTGATTTGCCATCCTTACCTAGTACTCGTCTCTTAACAACTGAGTTACTTACTCGGTGGTCTCAGGATATACGAGTAATGTTTCGAAGACATATATGATTGAATACCAGTAACCCACGAATATCCTCTACTCTTACCGGCCATGTTTCACTGCCATAAAGTAGGACGGAACGAACTGCTGTACAGTAAACCCATCCTTTTGTTGGTAGACGAGTATCTTGCCTACGCCATAAATGACGCAAGTTGGCAAAAGCTAGTCGAGCATTTCGTATCCGTGCTGAGATTTCGTCACACACCAGACCACAAGGACTGATGAGGTTCTCAAGGCAAGTGGGGCGGTCAACACGCTCAACTACTTCACTCCTTATCATTAGTTCGGGTGTTGATGCAACCCAATCCCGAAGTAACATTTCGCATTTCGAGGGGGAGCGATATATTAGTTAGGTTAAAGATAATAACTCCTTGATATATTTTGAGTAAATACTAAATATTTGTTTGCGAAATATCTTTACAAGAATTAATTCACATGCTCGAAACTACTAACTTTTAAAGTTGGAACTAAACAGGTATTTAATCCTTAATACCGATAGTACTATAAAAAAAAAATAAACTACTTACAATGAAACTGAACTGTTTTTTTATTTTATTTACACGTGCCTTCTAGTAATTCATTTATATAGCTCTTTTATAGGTTTATTTTAATAGCTTTCCGTTGCCTTGGTTACATACACTAGTTCCCATTACTGGTTATGTGCCATCATCATCATCATTGTAGATACACAGTTAACTTAAGAATACAACAAATTATTAAAAGTGAATCAGCGCTACATTTCTACGTATGAATATTCCCATTTTATTTTGATACATATTTTTTGATGCTCTATTTTAGAAAGTAAAAGAGTTACAAATGCGACATAGAATAGTGAATGATAAAGCTTTTACATAAAGTACAGTTTAATATCTTTATCTAAAGATATGTTTTTTTCATCTAATGAATTGTGTTACAATGAAAGTTACATTCTGAAAGCTTTTTAAAGTTATTATTCTCGACTAATTTTTCTCTAAACTATATCTGTAGTAATAAATAATTTTGGCCACATACTGACCAAAATAGTGTTGTACTGTCACTTTCGTGAACATAATATTTTGCAAGTTTTAATCAACTATAATTTAACTGATCTGATGAAGGTGTGTTCTGCAAATTCATGCCATAATATCTGGTTAAAATACTCCATCAAGCTAACTTATCTTGGGGAACTTACACCAGCATGATTATATCAATGGTTTCTCAATTGGTGTCAGTATATAAAAGAAATTAACCCAAAATTGCATTAATCTCCCTCAACGTACCTAACCTACAGGAACATTTCTTACTTAATAATAATAATAATAATAATAATAAAATAATAAAATCGGAAATAATCAACCTAGTAAGAAAAACGTTGGATACTCAATTTAAATTACTGCTTGTTTGTCCTTATTAGAGTATAGTTTAAAAGTTAACTGTATGTTAATTTTTCTTAATTATCAAATCGATACTGAAATTATTCATTATGTTTTATGAATATTTGAAAGAATATTACTGATAAACAGTGGTTGTATATACATTGATAAATAATAAATAATGGCTTTTCTTTTGCCTATGAAATACTAGAGCATGATGATTAGTCACTCGATAAATAAATCTATATTGGTAGGAAACATATAATGTTAAATGATAAAAAATTTTAAAACATTAAATGGGAATATATCTAGTTAAAAATTTGAAAAAAGGGTACAAGAGAAGAAAATTTTATTATTTATACACAGAAGCTAGATTAGGTAACTTAGATTATAGTTGAATTCATGAGTCAATTGAAGCTAGACCACCGTAGAAAACCTGAAAGCACTGGACGACCGTTTCGTCATAGTATGGGACTCCTCATCAGTGCACATTCATGATCCCGCCTCTCGAGATTCTAACCTAGGACCTATCTGTCTCGCGTACGAACACTTAACCTCTAGACCACTGAGACAGCATCCAACGGTGTTAATGTCTAACTCCAACCAATCCGCGAAATTGAGCCATCATCCAAATCTCGTGGGGAGTCTCATACTAGGACGAAATAGCCGTCCATTGCTTTCAGGTTTTCAATAGTGGCTTAGCTTCAATTAATTCATGAATCCAACTATAAAATTACTAAAATCTCCACAAAACCCCTTCTGATAATAATCTAGATTAATCTAAGTGAAAATATGTATTCTCTAGTAAGATGGTGTATTTATTATTAATATTAGTAATCTCTTCAATAATCTATAACATTTGCAGAAGTTAAAGAAAAGAAAATGAACATTTAAAATTATTACCTCATTATATTTATAGGTTGTACTTGTCAGAGGTTGGTAGGATATAAAGTAGCATTTAAAACAGGAAAGTAATGAACAGCTGTTTTGTCATTGTAAGGGAATCCTCAGGAGTGACTCCATCAAGGATTTAAATATATTTATCGAATAGTGTTTAAGGAAATTGTCTATTTCGAAGTTATTCCGATTGTTTATAAAACTTTGATAGGGAAATATAACAGGTTAGAAATATGTACAGTTTTGATTTAAACATAATAGTTTAACAGTATAATATTGTCACTTCTTGATTCTCAGAATTATCGGTGTATCACTGTTGGGAGGTTTTTAACTAACGATGAAGAGATTGTTTTTAAACGACAGTTGGTTTTACAGTGGTTAATAACTTTAAATGTATCTATGAGGAAAAACAAAATTTACACTTTCCTAAGTAGATCATATTATTGACTTCGTTTAACTTGAATTCTACGTCATCAATTAAAGCTCAAGTGTATTTTTTAAGTCAATTAATTTAAGAGGAAACAAACCAGCTTCCATCTGAAGAAGAAATTAGGAAAAGACGTTAGAAGTGGATATGACATACATTGTGGGAAACATCAAACTGCATCACGAGGCAAGCCCTAACTTGGAATCCTGAAAGGAATCAGGAAAGACGAAGGTCAAAGAACATACTGTGCCGGCAATAGGAAGAAGACATCAAAAGAGTGAATAGAAACTGGAAAGAACTATCACCACTAAATTAACTACTTCTATGGATTCAGTGTTCATCTTGTTGTGTTAATAATGTATGGCAACTTGGACCGGTGAACATATGTACCTGGTCCTACATTGTAGCTGACTGACTGACTGACTGATAGTAAGATCCGAAGATAGAGGGTAAAAACTGTTGAGGAGTCTCATACTAAAGCAAAGCAACTGCATAACGCTCCTTGATTTTCAGTTGTTCTCCAATTGAGATCAGTCTTTCATAGATACAATCTAAAAACTTACATAGTTTAACTTTATTTTTTGTCAATACTAAAACCTTTAAGTCTAAAAGTTAAATGAATATATCTTAACCATTAGACACAGGAAATATTTTCAACTTTATTTATTTCACTGACGAAAATTTGCTGTAATTGGATATAAGATTTGAATGTAGATCGTTTACTGTTTATTTGTTCACTAATGAACTTGACTACTTCCTATTTTTGTAAGGATCTATCTGAAGAAACTATAAGAAAAGTTTATTGCGTTTGTTACAGTTAACTACATACCCTTAGTGAATTTTAGACTGTTTTCTAGTTGTTTCACAACACAATATAACGATAAAATGACTTCCAGATATTTAAACATCCTACAGAAAGGATGCCATTTTTCGTTATGACGAATGTGAGTACATGAAATCTAATTTCAAAATCATTAATTCACACAAGCAAAGCTTTGAAATTTCGCAATAATATTTGAGTTTTTGTCATGATAAATGGATATGATTGCACAAGTCATTTGAAAAATGTATTCTACTTGTGCCAGGTAATACTTTAACTATCTTAAAGGTGTTGTACACGAACTACATGGAAATATGGAATCGTAAAAAAGGAATACATTTAAATGGATGAGAAGGCAAAGAGTAGACATAGAAGATTGAGTGTACATTTATAATAGGTAAACATGATATGACATCACTAAGTATCAACTATTGTTTGATGCTCATTTCTGTTAGATCAATAGTCAGTGAGACGGAAAATTACTCTGAATATCTTGAAAATAAAATGATGCGCTATTCAGTTAGGCCGAATTTATTAAGTCATTAACTTTAGGTTTATTTTTCAGGTTCTTGTTAAAAATAGACAGCCTACTTACTGACCAAGTCACATGCACTCTTTGTCACATTCCACTGAAAACAGTGAGGCTGCCAGTTAAATACATGTATTTTAGAGATTGAACACTACATAATGACGAGTTATCTACATAGTATAGTTCATTGTAGTTTCATATTAAACTGTCATCTGGGAAGTGATACATTTTCAAGTGTCCACGAACTACAATAATCAATTATGACTCGGTTTCATCATCTTACATATACAACGCTATGAAAAATATGGCATTCTAAAACGAGTGATTCACCTTAAGGGATATTTGTGAACCTAAAATGTGATACATTATATTTACTGTTAATATTTTCGTCATACTGTATAACTTCTGCAGACATCACTAAATAACTTACATTTTGAATCATAAGATGGATTTATCACCAAATGACTTTTAGCTAATCGCTGACAAAACCAAAAATTTTGAAACTTCTCAGTAGTGGACATTTACTACTCGACAGGGAATCTAAATCAGAACTTTAATATTTCTCAGCAATCACGTTATGTTGAGCCATGAGTCTAAACCCACTGGTTCTTCAATGTCAGTCTGCAATTTAGCATAACCTTTATCCGAAGCCATAGGTGATACTTGTACTACTCAGGGAAGACCGTAACTCCACTAATTGCGGTTTATCATCAGGACTTTTTCATTGCATGGTCTGTAACAAAAAGCTATCTTTTAATGAATAGTCGTTCAAATCATTTTATCTCGATACTTAATACTTTATTATAATCACTTTAATGGGCAATAACGTTACAGTTTATTAGAATAGTAGACTTACTCAAATCTGCTTCATCATTGTTATTTGTATGATCAGGACTGAGGGTCGTCACGTAGGAGCATAACGCTTCTGCATCTATATCAGCTTTAGTAACCAATATACCTTTACGTTCATCCACACTAAACAATGTTGAAGGTGAACCCAGTTTGTAGTTTAACGCTATAATTTGTCCGAATTCATTTGAAGACGAATGTGTTATTGATGAAGACATAGAGTTCGGTAGTACGATTGAATTTATTGTACCAATTTCTGTACCGATTTTACAATTTTCATCAATACTAAACTCTGTTGAATACACCTGAAGCCTTGGTATTCGTCCATGTATACTTGATGATATAGTAATGAAATGTATAAAAATGTGAAGCAGAAAGAATTGTTTCATGTAATAGATAACATTTTTACTCTGAACAATTGCCTTCATGTCCCAGAATCAAATGCAGTTTCGTTCACTAATGGAATATTGATTGTTCGTGGAAGATTGTTTAAAATGGTTAATAAAGATAGTTGTAAAAGAGAAAAGAAAGGTAAAGCCTATTAGATTTTAATATTTTTTTTCAAAGAAATAAATATATAATTATGTGTATTGTAGATATATTCAAACGCCTTGCTTCTTGATTTTTGTTTCTTCAATGTGTACTTGACTTTTTCAACTTCTGTGGTATAACCCTAGTCAAATTTAATTTTAGGCAATGTATAGAAAGAACTCTGAATGATCTAGTGACTCATAAAGATAGATTAAGCATTCCTACCACCCCAAAATATATGACCTACAGTTCTGCACTGTCCCCCTTGTTTATAATAATCCGTTTCCACCTTGTTTGCGTACCTATTGACCAATCAGAATGCGAGAAATTAATAGATAGATAATACAAGCTATTTTATGAATTGTCCCTCATTATCACATTTAGTCATGAAGTTGTAATCTAACTTCTGTGAAATTATTCCATTTCTGTCTGGTAGGTTAGAAAAGAACAAAATTTACGAGGCCTTAGTTTTCAATGTAACATGTTGACTGAAGCTTTATGACGCATAGTTCATACAATCAAATAAGCATAAACAAACAAATATTGGCTTGTTGTTTGGTCAGATAACACACACTCATATTGCAGTTAAATGCTATGATAACATTTTCTAGGTAAGTCTTTTTGTGTTTATTCAATGTAATTCTCAAAAGATAATTTGCTAATAAAATTGTAGATGTACAGTTTGAAGGTATTTTGTTACAATCTTAAGCATGAGTGACACCATAAGTAATTCGGAATAGTAGGAAGTACATTTTCGCCACTAATTTTATGTTTTCATTACTGGTGCACAGATAAAACATTTGCAATCTTTCATAACGTTTTTAAGCTTCTGGGAATTATCCTCGATCTATGCAGTTAATATGCCTTTCAAGCTCTCTTTACAAGTGTTTTCATGTTCATAATAGTCAGGTATCAAGTATACAAAAGTCGTTAAATGTAACATTATATGTATGTCGAAGTTAAATAACTGCAAAGTCTATCTGGGCAATTTGTTCCGTTGCCTTCGTTGAAGATTTTTACGCATACAATTTCGATAAATATACGAAACGAATTACTTATATACGAAGTTTGCGGAAATTCATTGATTTTTTAGTTTACATTACAGGCTGAATTTATCCAAGAGTACTAAAAAATTGTTTCGTTTTAGTTCGGGGTTATCGTTTATGACTCTGTTAAGGATCAAATCTGGGATGTTTCGGCCTTGTCATGAGTTTAGTACATTTAGATCACTGAATTACGATCCATTAGTCTATATTTTAAACTTCAGTCAGTTAGCAATATTGTGCGACTATGTTCATTGGAAGTCATGTATACGCACTGTTAAGAAGTCTTTTACTAGGACTAGGCAGATGTTCAGTTCCATATATTTTTCAATTAGGGTCTGATTAGAATCAGCCTATTATGTAAAGTCTGAATAAAACTGACTGGTTATTCAAACAAAAATGAATTGTAAGCTAATGGTAGTTTTTGCAAATTGGCATCACTGTCTCAATCAAAATTGATTTAGCTTTTGAAGAATTTCTGATTACTATAAATCTTTTTCTAATTCACTGTCATTTTTATCGTAAATATATGTAGTCCTAGCGTAACTACAGTTGGCTAAATCAAGACATTTTATCAGTCTGTGAAATCATTTGCCAATGAACTGAATCATTTTAAAAAGTTACGATTCATGCAATAATCATGATTGATGGTTGAAAGCCTTATGATAAGTTTGGAAACTTCGTCCAGTGTACACTTATGTTATTTGGTACATCGTTTATGACTGTTTGTATTATTATAACTAATTTGTCTACAGCATTTCACAGATCTATAACAGATTGTCATTAGTAAAGCTCCTATAATTGAAAACAAGATCAGTAATTTAAAAATAAATTGTATTAAAAATGACAGAGAAATATTTTTTGGGTTAAACTTGAATGAATTTCTGATCTAATGAGTTATTCATCTCATTGCTGAGATGAATATTCATTTTAAAAAAGTGAATAATTATAGTATTGGTTTTCGGACTGAATGAAGATGAAAAATGCTGTCTTAAAAATCTTGGTACATTGGTTAAATTGTATTATAACTACCATCAAATTTGAATGTCCTGAATTCTTTTCCATTTAGAGCCATAAAATTATCGAAGAATTTTATATCATAGTAAAGCAACTATTTAATGATTAACTGTGTTTTAATAATCTACTAGTCGATGTGCCCCCAAATGCCCTGGTGCGGCCGAGAGTGGGAAGAGTCCGCTCTCCCTCTCAAAGTGCTCTCACATGGCCACGCGTATATAGCCTCAGCCAGGGAAGTCCTACTCACTGCCTTCTCGTGGCGGGAGTGTTGTTTACGAAATTCAAAGGACGAAAGGCGAATGTTTGGCGCTTTAACTGGGTTGTTAAATACGGAAGATTCACCTAGGGGAGTTGGAAAACCCTGATTCCAAACCACTGGTGCACATGGGCTCCAGTATCCGAAAGGAAAAAATGGAGTATGAACCTTAGTGTTGGCCACCGGCTACCATGGGACTGAATCTCCTTACGTTGCTCCACTGCCTTGTGGATCAGACCTTCATGTCGAAGATTCCGGGTATGGCCCCCTAAGAAAACCACCTGCTTCGGTCCGGGCACCCGGAGAGTATCACAGCCCTCACACATATCAAATGAGATTTGTGTGGCGCATATGTATTTGGTGCCTCCTTTTACCAATATCTATATGTTAAAATAAATAAGCCGGTCGATGTCAGTTAGCGCTAAAAAAACCTCTTCAAATAAAAAGTTGATTAAATATATCATTGCCTTTAAAAATGTAGTTGTATATATTTAATCACAATTCAAGGGTTGATTTACATTTTTCAAGTTTCAATATATCTGATTTTTAACAAATATATTTATTTCAATGTTTAAGATCATGAGTCAGTTGAATCTAGACCATCATGGAAAACCTGGAAGCACTGGACGGCCGTTTTGTCCTATTGTGGGACTCCTCAGCAGTGCGCACCCACGACCTCGCCCCCTGAGAGATTCGAACCCCATGATAACATAGGAGTGATTGAAATACTTTGTCAGAAATTATGTTTTTTTTTTCAAGATAGAAATATTATTATTAATTTCTGTAAAAAGAATTATTATTAAAAGTAAAGGTAACTCAGAAAATGGATTTTTTGAGATGAATCTATGATATAGTTTGTAAGATTGCTTAGACGTAATGTTTTAAAAATCTTTATTACATAACACAGCCCTAGGTCTCTGTAAACAATAAAACTTTTTTTACGGTATCATCAATATAAGTCATCAACCTTTAGAATATTTTACTAACTTTCCATAGTAATACACAGGTATAAACTTTCTGCGTTGATTAGATCATTCATGTCGTAACAATGTCAAAAGAACTAATATTAATGCAATCTTCATTAAAACTGAAACTTAACTCTAGCATACGTTGTTAAGACATAGATTTTTTCAATTATTAATGATGGAATGAGTAAAAATGCTGATTTCATAGAATACAGTTTGTAAATACTTATTTTAGACACGAGTACAACTCATGTATTTTACATAAATGATTATGTTGTGTTACCTAGCTTCAAATTTTATTTAATGTCAGGGAAGTGTATTGGTCAAACAGATTTGCATTGTATTTCCTGTCATAATATGAAATGAGTTTGTTTATAAAGTGGAGTTTTCCATACAGACCAATGGTTTCGTACTGATTATGTGTGATTTAATATCGGCTACTAATTTGTAATATTTCACCATTAGGCAAACGATAAACTTTTTGAAGAGTCTTCTTAGGACGAACATCGATCACGTTAACTGTAACCCAAGGCAAGAACGGTTAAAATGGTAGGGCTTGAAAGAAATTTGTAAGAGCACTCCTGATCGACATAAATAAATATATTTGTAATTAAATTTTATGACGTTTCGTAACTTAGTGCGAGGCACTTCTTCAGAAAATTAAAAATCCTCTGGGATATTAATTTATTTATAACAATCTACCCAATGCTCAATTTATTCGAAATTATCAAGTCAAACCTTGGTAATGACACTTACTTACCCATTAATTTCTCACTGATGTTCTCTTTTTTTCCAAAGATTTATTGACTCAGTTCTGAATTCGAGCCTTATATATCGGATGCTAGCATATGACGGTCCATGCTTTAGTTTTATATCAAGTGTTTTAGGAACTCAATCTAACCTAGATTCCCTACTTGGTAGCAGTATATTTCTTTTAAGATTTTTCAAAGCAAATCATTTATGAATATTCCATGACTTTGGATCCTTTTATCACGGCGATTATCAAATAGAATAATGTCATTTAAAAAAATACTGTTAAAATTTCTTCAAAAACTTTCTTAGAGACTCAAAGCCTTAAGTTGTAATACTATTCTTTTTCTTATTAAAGACTACTATTAGACTAATATCCTGGACAACAGTTTAATTGTGGAATGTGATGAGGTTTATTATTCAGAAAGTAACTCTAGAAATTCTAAGTATTATAAAAAAATGTTAGGATCTTTTAATTGTTAAAAAGTAAAAAGAAATTTTTATTGATCACATTTACATAGAATAAGAAAATGTGATCATGAGACCATATCGTTTTATACCGAATTGTAATTATCCAATGATATATTTCATCATGTTTAACTTACCGCTAGACATAATAAACACAAAAATATGTGTATACACTAATGAGTAATTTCCAGATGAACTCCCATAAATTCTAATACGAAACCTTAATATGTAGAATCACCCAACCCAATAGTAAAACTATAACTCATCGATAACATTAGAAAATGTTAGTTCTAAGTTATGTTGTTAACTGAAGTCGAGAATGAACTTCACTCAGTAGCTCGAACTTGGGTTCGATAGGGTCGTGAGTTTGGAGTTGTGAGGAGTCCTAAACTAAAGTT